ATTTCTTGGTGCATCATGTCATGAAAAATGGCAGTCATGGCCCTCATATAGGTTGCCCCAACATTCTTCAGACCAAAAGGCATGACCCTGTAATAGTAGGTGCCCCAGGGTGTGGTGAAAGTTGTCTTTTCCGCATCTTCTTCATCCATCAACACCTGGTGATATCCTGCATAACAATCCACGAAAGACTGTATCTCATATTTGGCGCAGTTATCAACAAGGTTGTGGATATTCGGCAAAGGGAAGTTGTCCTTGGGACTTGCTTTGTTAAGATCTATGTAATCCACACACACTCGAGTTTTCCCGTCTTCTTTGGTACAGGAACTACATTAGCCAACCTTGTGGTGTACCGGACCACTCGGATCACTCCTGCCTTCAACTGTTTTGTGACCTCTTCTTTAATCTTGTCACTGATATCAGTTTTGAACTTTCTTTGCTTTTGCTAGATAGGAGGATAATCGGGGTAGGTCGGCAACTTGTGGATCACCAAATCAACACTTAGTCCTGGCATGTCATCGTATGACCAAGCAAACACATCTTTGAACTCAAACAAAAGTTGGATCAATGCATCCCTGGTTTTTTCATCTGTGTGAATGCTTATCTTGGTTTCTTTGACTTCTTCAGAACTACCCAAATTAACCGGCTCGGTTTCATTTAAGTTCGGCTTAGGTTTATTCTCAAATTGTTCCAATTCTCAATTTATTCCGTAAAAGCCTCCTCTTTATCATATTCCGGTTCTTGATTCATTATTTCACAATTAGACAGCGTGTTTGGATCTGGGCATGAAGTCTGCAAGCATGTCATGTTATTTAAAGTCGCATTATTAGAACTGAAAGAAGAAATAAGAAAAAGTAACAAAAATCAGAAAGAATAAAGAGAGATGAATGATGAAATATTGATTTCATTTCATTGAATTTTGAAGATAACAGGGTTTACATTGGAAATTAAAGACAATAAACTAAAAGAAACATCCGAGTTACACCCTAAAATAACTCGTGATGTAGAAAAGGTGGCAAGACTGGACTACCGGGATTCCCGCTTGACTGGGAATTGAGTAGTCTTCCAATTTTGCAACTTGGCATCGGGCCCCACATACAAACCTCAGTGGTGCTCGAGCCTTCTCCCGGTTGGACCATGTGGGTTTCATATAGCTGCCTCATAGCTCCACATATTTATTCTATTTCCTCGGCCGTGAAGGCCTCATCTTCTTCTTCTTCATTGTACTTGGGCCTGACGAAGGTTTCGAACAGATGCGGGATCGGCTGAGGCAAGACCCAACCGTTGTTCTTTCGCTCATTTGCCCATGTTTCATCAGCTGGCGTGGCTTGGAAACCCACACCAAAGAACTTCTCGCTAGCAGCCAGAGTGATAGGTTCTGTGATTCCTTGTAATGACGTCCTGAGACCCTTCCCACGTTTATAACCATGCCTGATCATTTCCTTGGCAACCATAATTGACGTATTTGAGAGAAAGGGTAGAGGACAAGGGTTTCCTTCTTCACATTGGTATGCGACCACAACTTCGAAAGCTTGATAGACTATGTGTTCACTTCCTTCCCTAGCTTCGAGACATGGGACTGACGAGTCCTGGTAAATCGACTGCTCGTCCTCTCCATGGACTACAATCTCTTGATCTTCATATTCGAATTTCACCATCTAGTGGAGAATAGAAGGTACGGCCCCTGCCGCATGAATCCAAGGTCTTCCCAAGAGGAAATTATAGGAAGTATCCATGTCTAGGACCTGAAAGGTCACCTCGAAATCCACATAACCAATAGTCAAGATCAGATCGATCTCACCGATGGTGTCTCTTTTGATACCATCAAAGGCACACAGACAGACGTTGTTAGGCCTGATTCTCTCAGTCCCAATCTCCATTTTTTGCAAAGTTGAGAGAGGGCAAATGTCAACTCCGGACCCGCCATCTAGCATGACTCTCTTCACATAGTACCCCTCACATTTAACTGTCAGATGGAGGGCTTTGTTGTGGGCGGCCCCTTCCGGGGGCAAATCATTCTTGCTGAAGGAGATCTGATTGATTGCAAAGAATCTTTCTGTCATCCTTTCCAATTGCTCAACAGTGGTTTCAATTGGGACATAGGCTTCATTGAGGGTTTTTATCAACACCTTCTGATTCTCGGTTGAATTCATTAACAGAGACAACAAAGAAACCTGAGCAGGAGACTTTCGGAGTTGGTCAATTATCTCATAGTCCGTAGTTTTCATTTTCCTGAAGAAATCTTCTACTTCTTCAGCACTAACTGGCTTCTTGAGTGGGAAACACTTCTTCGTGGCATTATTCACTTCCTCCAGATTGAGGTATTTCGCAGCCGAGTTAGTTTCCTTTGCTTCTCCCCAGATCTCTTTCCCCCTATAGGTTACTACCGCCTTGTTGTAATTCCATGGGACGGCAGTGGGATCTGTCATGGGCCTCTGCAGTGCGCGACCAATAACCACGGGCTCATTCAGCCTTGGTGAAATTACTGGCCCCCGTACCATATAGGTCCCTTTAGGCCCATACATTTTACATCCCTTGTTCAGATCAAACCTTCTTGGAGGGCTCAATGTCACTTGTCCTTTCCTGTGACCCCGGGAACATAGAGAACGACATCTTTTGAGGGTGTTGCCCCAGTTTTGGTTTCCACTTTGTTTTTTGTATTTTGAGGGGTGGGTTTAATCTTCTTCTCCCCCTTGTCTTGTTTTGCGGCAGCCTTTGGCTTCTTTTCAACATCAGTGATTGCAATTATGGCTTTCAAAGCAGGATCGAACTCCTTATCTTCGCAAATCATTCCGATAATCGGTCCGTTGTTATGAGCCGAATTATGTTTTCCTCTGCAGTTGCTGACTCGAAAGTTGGGATGGCCGAGATCGGGCTATCATCCAGGATTGGAACTATTGGCAGATGACTTTCTGTAGACATTTCAACCCTTCCTTTTGACCTTGTGAAGTACGGATGCGAAGCCAAATTACAAAAATTAAATAACTCCTAAATTAAAAGAAAAACTATAAAGTTCAAAATTAAAAAGTTAAAATGCAAAGTGAGTCATTTTTGTGATTTTTTCATTTTTCTAAGACAATTAAATTGCTAATTAACCTAAAAATGTAGAATTAAATCCTAAATGCAAATGCAAAGTATTTTTTTGTATTTTCATGAATTAAATAAAATTAAACATGCACAGAAAAATGTAAATAATCAAGAAAATTTTACAATAATTCCTAAAATGGCAAACAATTTTAAAAAAAAAAAATTAATTCTTTAGGAGTAATTCATGTGGGGCAAAAATCACGTGCTCACAAGGTTGCCGCAGGGGCACTAATGATGCCAATTTTTAATTGAGGGTAAACCTATCCTATTTTAAATAATCGAGGGGTAGTTTTGAACCTTTTCTATAAAGTATAGTTAAATTATTTTTTTTAAAAAAAAAAGAAGAAGAAAGAATAGTTCAAATTACATAGATCTTCTAAATGAACTTATAGGTTTTAACCTACACTTTTATAGACAAGTAATTAGAATATAGACTATTATCCCTATCTTTTAGACTAAGTTTAAGGAACTATCCTTAGATAGATTTTAACTTTTAAGTGATGTCTCACCCTTTCCTCATAGAATAACTTGAACCCTTATCTAGAATTTCATTGGTTTAGCAAACTATTAAGAGTTGATCTTTATTCGACCCATAAGTACCCCGATCTACCTAAATATTAGGTGGAGGCTCCTTACCTTCTATGAACCTTGGAATTTCCATTATGGTGAATCCTATCTTAATCTGGGTAAAATAGGGTGCAACAGTCGCTTTCTTGACTTTCACTTTTTCTTGAGCCTCTCCATTCTACCACTAGTCCCCTTTATGCCCACTAGTGTAGCCCTCCGAGACCCTTAATACCTCTCTAGCTGCTTCTCTAATGCAATTCGCTATCATGGTCCACATACTACTCGTGTTTCCACTACTCCTTCAAGCTCCCATTACTAACAACTTCTCCCCAAACTCCCGAGCTTTGTCCTTAGTCAAGGCTCCTCACTTGATCTTAGGTTGACCATACACGATCCTCTTTTACCTAATGTCTAAATTCATTACCAAGAGCCTATGTTGGGTCATGAGGTTCTCGCTCGGAATAATCTTGCAATCTGTGCATAAACCTCTATAAGGCCACCGTACTATAAAATGTGACCAAGTGCTCCTCCTTCTTTGAAAACTCGAGTTAGCTATCACCAAATTAAAAGCCTTAGCAAATCCAACAACAAAGTTCCTCCATCGTTTCCATCACCAAAATCAAAGCCGCCATGCACATTGTCATAACCCCTAGAAGTCATCCTGATGTGGCCATTAAAATCACTTGGAATAGCGTCTCGGTGAACGGAATATCACGTACCACCTCGTCCAAATCTTCCCAGGAGTGAGACATATTTTTACATAATTTTTCTATTTCTTCCAATGTGATAACAATTTTCAACAAAGCCAACTTCTAATGTTCATGCAACACCCATTTTTTCGCATGTTCTAATCTTTTTCTCCTATTTTTGCTAGCTACTCAACATTCCGTTTTTAGTACATAATTTTTTTAAACAGTAGTGAGATATTAGAGTTATATGGAAAGGGACTGATCTTGCTAGATGTCATTTTTACAAAAAGTTTGTTTTAAAACTGTTTTCTTGTATATTCTAAAAACAATTTATGTTTCTATATTTGTTCTGAAAAGTTAATTGCGTTAGGATAGGATGTTTTTTTAGAAATACAAAATATATGCAAATATCAGTATAAAGTGAATGGGTCTAAATGGTTCTTTATTCTTTGGATGTTGGTATTTACCCGAAATTAGTTTCTTGGTCTGTTGTGATTACTAGACATGAACTTCAATAACTTTGTTTACAAAGAAAATTTCTACAATTTGGTTACCAAAAACTAAAATTAATACAAAAACATATTTTCAAACCAAATCTAAAATAAAAAGGACAATTAGAGAATATTTAATAATCAATGTGTTACATATGAAGTAATTTAAAAACTCTATCATAAGGCCCTTAAACCCTATCCCCAGCAATAAAGTTGCAGGCATTTCTATTGCTGATTCTATTGTGAAAGATTCCTTCATTTATTCTATTGCTGATTCTGTCCCCAAGGCATCAATGTCTACCAATTTGGACGATCATATAGAAAAAATTTTATGGACAGAGCAGCAAATTTCTCGACGAGTTTCTGAGCTTGCTTCCCAAATTACCCTCAGCTTTTCTTCTTGTAAATCCGCTCCGGTCGCTGTGGGCGTTGCCACTGGTGCTTTTCTGTTCCTAGCTGACCTTGTTCGCAAAATCAAACTTCCCATCTCCGTTGATTTTGTTCGGGTTGAATCATACGGCTCTGGTACTGTATCCAATGGCAAACCCAAGATTTCTTGCGATTTGAAAATTGATGTTACTGGAAAGCATGTGATTTTGGTATGAATTTGTTAATTATAGTGTTTGGAAGAATTCCCTTTTTTGGTATATTAGGGTTCATCAGTTTGAGATATATACGTGCAATTGAGATAATTAAAAATGCAATCTTTATTCACTGGTTATGCTTATTTTTTCAGTTCTAGCAGCTGAAATTTTGTACATTTTAATTCAATCTATTGTAATTTATAAAAGTGTTCTGTTTGTGGCGCTTCAAGGATATTAATGTATCTGAAAAGCTTTATGGAAATCTTTGCAAGACTAAGGGTGTGTTTGGTATGAATCCAACATGTTCTGGCGACCAATCACCAAAAGATATCTTTCTTGAAAATATTTTCCATTAAAGAATGAAAGATGACTTTCTTAGCTTATGTTTTGCTCTTGTCGTGTCCGTTTGAAATAGTTTTAAACATTAGAGAGTTGGATAGTGAGGCAAAGTTTCTTCTGGAAAGTGCTTTCTGAAAGATATTTTCCATCATACCAAACACACCTTAAGCATTTCTCCATTTACACATTTTTGCTGGAAAGGTAGAAAATGGAAATCGCCTGATGTGGGTGCACGTACAGAAAGATTGTTTATAACTAGGGGGAAGCAAGAAAATTGCTTTTTGTGACTGGATTTTTAACTCCCTTTACATTTCAGATGTTGCATGTATGACTTGACAAAAGATCACGTGTACATCTTAGTTAACATAAGCCAATGTTTTCCAATAGAATATCTTGCTACCATTTAGGATTTAGGGGAGATCCTGCCGAAGTGCTTATTAGGGTCCTCTTAGTCGAGCTTTCATTCTCCAAGTATCTTGGCTGGTTAAATTGTCGTGTCGCCATATATTGCCGTCATAACTGCTGCTACTTGGTTATCTCAGTCTCCCCCTTCCCTTCCTCAATTTTCAGATTTATAAGTGAACCACTAGCTTGTGTTATGTGTGATTTGGTTGCAGTATATATAATTTTAGTTACGTGCTTGGAGCATGAAGATTCTTTCAGCTTAACCTTAACCTATCAGTTGGACTCATGAATCCTGCGTTTAAGTTGTAAAATTATATCAGTGACCATGTCTACAATGAACCTGCATATCAGCATACTGACATTTTATTTGACTAATTATTATTTTTTGAAACATGTTGAATCTGAGCTGATAATCATGGCTCTTCTGATATTTCCCCAGGTTGAGGACATTGTGGATACAGGAAACACGTTGTCCTGCCTCATTGAACACTTGAAATTTAAAGGAGCATCCTCCATATCGGTGTGCACGCTCCTCGATAAACCATCAAAGAGGAAGGCTAATTTTGAACTTGTGGGAGAAGGGAAGTTCTACCGTGGTTTTGAGGTAATCTCTAATATTCTCTTTGCTTTAATGAAAGTCCTTCGTTCTTGTTGTATTTGGATTGTGAATTATTACTGATCTGATGATTTCAAGGCATTTGATTGCCATAATTTTTGAGTTTCTTTTACTATGTCAATCTTTGTTAGCTTTATCTTGTCTATAGAAACTTTAAAAAAATGGCAATGCTTCGTTTTGCCATAGTTGTTTTCTGCTGGCCAGTCTCTCCAACAGAAAATAGACAAAGTAAAAACGAGAAAGGGAGAACTGTGGCAATTCCTGTCTGATCTAAAGAGCTAAAGTATTTTCTAAAAAAAAGCATATTTCGAGAACCTTTAAGTTAACTCTTAATTCATGAAAAGGAAATTGATTATTTTGATGTAGAGTTGTACTCCCTCCGGTCCACAATAAGTGATCAATTTGCTTTAGTCACACCCATTAAGGAAATACTAAATTCTAGACGAAAATAGTTAGTGTGACTGAACTACCCTTCATTAAATGTTGCACCATAGTTATAGTAGCACTTACTTCTCTTCTCAAATGTGAGGAGTAAATAACTTTTTAGGGATACGTACATAAGGTTAATTTTGGAAAAACAAATTGAATTTTTTCTTGATTATATAAATGGACACTTATTTTAGACTAAAATAAAAAAGCAAATTGGTCACTTATTGTGGACCAGAGGGAGTAAGATTAATCTCTCTCCACCTATGAAAGAATTATTGCAGTAGCAAATTTTCCTGTCCACACTGTTAAATTGGCAAGTATTTGATATATGCTTCTACGGTTTATGTGCTTTCTTAATATGTCCCTTCCGCATGAGAAGACTTGAAATTATTCATGGTTATAGCAGCCGGCAACTGTCATGACAAAGAGGTTGGTTTACTACATTGGTTTTATGACCATTTATGCAATAGAGAAAAACTTGGCATTGGTTTTCTAAAATGATAGTAGTAATATGTTTAGTTCTTCTTTTGCCCAATAATTAAACTGAGAATATGAGATTTCTCTGATGTCACTAGCCGATACCACAGGAAGATACTATTGGCAAATCAAATATTGAAATATCGCATTATAATAGATTAGAGATGGCTCGTTGCTATTTTTGATGGATAACCAGCCTATAACAACAGCATGTCTAGAAAGAAAGATGTTGTAGCTTGCATTTGGATAGCTCCTACATACTCCCCCTTTAGAAGATTAACCGAAACTCCATTCTTTTATTTGTAAATGTTAAAAAAGGGCAGCCCGGCCTGGTGCATAAAGCATCCCGCATTCACGCATGGTGGGGATGGGTCACACCCCAAGGGATGTGGTGTAGACAACCTAACTTAACACAAGCATTAATGGTTACTTCCACGGCTCGAACTCGTGACCTATAGGTCACACGGAGAGAACTTTATCGTTGCTCCAAGGTTCCCCTTCTATTTGTAAACTAGTATATATGTCCGCGCTTTGCGCGGTCGTAAAAGATATCAAATATGAAGAAAAAAAAATTAAATATGGATACTAAAGTTCTAGCACAATACTTATATTTGTGAAATAGCCTATCAATTAAAACCTATTCAGACGAACTTTTACAACTTCACTTCTTTTGGTCATGTGTCTAATTTTATAATAATGCTCCAAGTACATAAATTATGCTCTAGAATAAAGCTTCTCTGTGTATCACATTTACTTCCCTTTTTAAAATTTTGAAGAGAATTTTCCTATTTCTTAATGGACATTTAGGGGTTTTATTTCATTTTCTTAGAAAAAGATTACTCTTTCGATAAGTTTGAATTATCATAATCCATGTAGTTTTCTACTCATAGTATGTGCGCCCAAATCCTAATTTTCAATAATAATTTTTAATCTCTATTTGCAATGTCTCATAAGGCCAAAGTTCTACATATTATACTATTGATCATAGCGAGGACACATTGGCATTTACTTTATTAAAATGCAACTCCTCTCGCAAACATTTGAATAGGATGTCACAAACAAAGTTTCTTCATCTTTCTTTAATCAGTAGTTGAGAGCGAACGCATTGCAATTTAAGAAAATCTTTTTAAAAAAACTAGTAAAAGAAAGGAAAATAATTATCGTTATTATAAACTAAAGAAAAAATAAACACTGATATATACCTAAAATATTACTATAGTACAATCTTGTAAATTGGAATAAAAAAGAGCACCGAAGGGTATAAAATGCTAAATGGGAAACAATCACCAAACTCTTCTGATGCGATGGAACTATACTTCAGTAAATTTAAGTATTTTCTGATAAAACCTATCTTAAACAACATTTGTATATAGATTGATATAGTTCTCAATCTTAGCAACTAACAAACAAATATTCTTATACCATCTAGTAAAATACATTAAAGATATCAAAGCATCCAGGCTATTTATATACTCTAAAATAGAGAAAGTAAGATGTATAAATTTTCAAAAAGAAATTTATTACAATTGAAATCTGAAATTATAATACCTTGATACTTGCTTTCACTTCAAGAAAACTCAAATCTATTGGAAACCAAAAAAGATATTCTACTTCTATATACAAAAAACAGAATGAAACAAAAAAAAGAAGAGAACAATATCAATTAAAAACTATAATAATCTGCTAAAAATAACATATCAATGGATCACTAAAAATAAAAACATGGCAAAAGAATTATATCCACCAAATCAGAAAAATAGAAGAGAAAAAACGACATGCGAAAACAATTATTATCAGGAAATCAATACATCAAAGTAGGGTAAATGGTATTACATTCAAAGTAACAATCTTCTATAGGACAAAATATTACAAAAAGATAAAGAGCAAAAAAGAAATTCCAAAAGTACCTGACGCCAAAAGGAATGACAACATTAGTAGAGAGCAGAAGGACTATTTGAAGGAGACGGACTCTTGAGTGGCATATTTATTTCATTAAATTAGAGAAGAACATGGTCTTAAAGGTTATAATAATGATAGGTACTAAATAGGGTGGTAAACATTGCGTAATTACAAAGATAGTAACGTACCTTTAGGAGTTGTAATATAATCAATATTAATTGTAATAATTGTAATACATTTAATAGTAAAAAGTCCATTGAATGGGAAAATATTTTTGAACACAGAAAAGCCAAAAAAATGAGAAAAAAGATAAATGGCAATCCTAATCAAAGAGATGTGCCAACTCATTTCCTATTTTCCCAACTTTATATATATATA